ATCTGGGAGGGGAGAGTGTATCCAGGATTCTTCACAAGTGTTCTCCTAGGATAAATGGGCATGAAACCACAGCAGCAGCAGCAGACAGGAAGGAGGAGAGGGGAAGGGAGGGGAAGGAGGGGAGGAGGAGGGACCTCTGACCTCCAATGTCACAAAGACTCTTTTCATGTGGTTTCATATAAACATCAACTAATTCATTTTTTCCTGAGTTGCAGGCCTTTGCCGTCTTTGTTATACACCATATCCCATCAACTTTAACACATGGAACACAGACAAGCCAAGGAATAATTCAGGCACGCAACGATAAAAGTCTCCCCGTCGAACTTCAACCCAGAGACACCAGCTCCATATTTCTGATGTGTGAATATGTACAACAACAAAAATACGTTGGCTTGAATTGTTATTTGGGATGATTTAGTACGACGTCAACGGGAAATGGATAGAGTCACATCCTTTAAACACAAAGAAAGCTGGTTTGTTTGCAAGTTTAAAAGTTCTCTTGAGAAAGACCTGGTTAAGAAACTAGTGGCTGAGTATTTATGAAGAAAAGAAAAAAAAAAGAGCATGGTGTGCAGGAAGCTGTTATGGTTAGAATGTGAAATGCTCCCACAGACCCAGGTGACAGAGCTGTTCTTCTAAAAGGGTGCAGAAAGGCCGGGGAGGGGCCTAAGAGGAGGAAGTGAGTTCCTGCCTGGCTCAGGTTCTGGTTCCCTCACTTTCTCAGCATCCTGGCTGCAAACATCATGTAGGGGGCCACCTCACGCTTCGCCTGCAACAGCCGTGAACAGTTCCTCTTGACCTGACCTCTCCACCTTGATATAATGCATCCCCTCAAACCATAAGCCAAAACAGACCTCCTCTCTTAAGCAACTTCTTGTCAAGTATTTAGCCACTGCACAGAGAAGAGCAACCAACCCATACAGAAAACCGACACCGAGAAATAGGTCAGCACTGTGGCAAACCTGACCGTGTGGTCTCGGGCCTTGGGAGCTGCTTGGTGGGAGAAATGCCGTATAGTTTGGGGTTGCCAGCCAGCTTTGGAATGTTGTGAGCAAAGCTTAATGAACCATTCTGGTGCGGGTGCTAAAGACTAAAATGCTACCTGGAGTTCAGATGTAAGTACTGCTCATGAGATTCCAGAAGGCAATGAGGACTCCACTGAAAATCGGGCTGGAGGCCATTTATGCTATGCTCTGGCAATGGAATCCAACCTGCACTCCACCCACATTCTGAAATTTTGAGTGAATTTAAAAATAACAGACTAAGTCGCTTGGCCAGGAAAGTTTCAAGACACCACGACAGTCAAACTTATTATTCTTGGTCAGACAAATAGAAAAATAACAAAAAACGTGTGGTTTGTTTTAAAAGAGAGAGGGCGAGAGAGCTTGAGAATGTGGGGCAGAAAAGGCACCATTAGAGACTGGAGAGGAACGACAGAGACTGAAACTTTCCATTGAGTAGCGTGCCCACCACACCAGTGTGAAGGGCTGAGTTTAGATCCCAGCACCCATGCTAAATTCACCTGGAACCCCAGCATGGGCACACGGAAACAACAGGGTCCCTGGAACTTTCTGGCTAGTCTAGCCAATTGTCAAGACAGGCTCAAGGAAAGACCTTGTCTCAAAACATAAGATGGGAAGCAATAAGGGAAGACATATGACATTGACCTCTGACCTCTACATGTGTACTCACAAATATGCATATGTACCCACACACAAATGAGCACATGAAATGCATATACTGTACTCACACTCACACACACACACACACACACACACACACAAAACCATGGCCTTCACAGTAGACAACAGGATGTCTCCTGATGAGTACTCAAAAATGTGACGTGAAAGGACAATGCCTAAGAAGATAGAGCTTCCGGGGTTCTAGCTAGGCTGCGAAAGGAGGAACATGAGACAAAGCCCAAAACAGAAGAAAATAGCCCGACCCATGTTGCAGCCACAGAAGCTAGAAGCTCTCTTTCTTGCCTCACATCATAAGGAAGATAGCTGACCCAGAAGGCCAAGCTAAGCCAGGCATGGTGTCTTGCATGTATTTGATCCTAGAACTTTTGAGGCAGAGACAGATGGATCTTTGCAAGTTCCAGGCCAGCCTGGTCACATAGGGAGATTCAGGCAGCCAATGCTATATAGTAAAACTGTGTCTCGAAATATACATACATACATACATACATACATACATACATACATACATATATACATACATACATAAAACAGAAGGTCAAACTGGTCAAGTAGGCCAAATGTTGAAATGACATGGCTTCAGGCAGCCACAACCTAGCAGGAAGCTAAGCTGCCTAAGGCCGTGTGAAGCCTGCAAGCACAGTTCCACCTAGAGGGTTCATTTCAACCCAGAACAGAAAATCAGAAAACCGCCACCTCTGATGAGGAATCATAACTGATTAATGAGTTTGGAGCTGAAATCCATCTACGCTACCACAATCCTGCAATTATTGGGTAAGTACTCAGTCGCTGAACAACTAACCCAGAGAGGAAGGTCTTCTACATGGAAATGACGGGAAGCTGTTTCCAGTACCTTACTGTTTCCAGTAAGTCACTTTGATGATGACCAAAATAAATGACAGGTAATTTCTAGGGAGCTTACCAAGAGGCAATTGATGTAATCTAGAAAGAGATGCAATTCACACATTTTAATGTCTGGGATTGATTGATTCTAACAGTTATTTATTTATTTATTTTGTATTTTGCAACCCATGCTTGCTTGCCTGCCTGCATCCTGGCTGAAATAGCTTTTGATGAAGCCATTGCAAAACTCCATGCATTGAAGGAAGCTCACACAATGCCTTCACATTCATCACCCAGTTGCTTACAGACATCAGACAGTGCAAGAGAAGAATATGATACAGCAGAAGGTACCAAAAACTGAATGCTTAGAGTGTGTCATCCATCCTTCATCCCGCAGGAAACCTCTTTATAGGCCAGTAAGATGGCTTGACAGCTAAGGGCATTTGCCACCAAGCCTGATTTTATCTGACATCAATCCCCAGAACCCACAGAATGGAGGGAACAAACTGACTTCTCCAAGTTGTTCTCGGACTTCCAGACACACAGTGTGGTACACACACACACACACACACACACACACACACACACACACACACACACACACACACAAAATATGGTGGTTCAAATGAGAAGGGCCTCCATAAGCTAATATGTTTGAATGCTTGCTTCCTGGCTGGTGGAATTGTTTGGATTAGGAGGTGTGGCCTTGTTGAAGGAGGGGCGTCACTGGAAAGGGGCTTGATGTTTCAAAATCAAACTCCATGCTCAGTCTCTCTCTCTCTCTCTCTCTCTCTCTCCCTCCCCCTCCTTCTCCTCCTCCCCCTCTCCCTCTCCCCTACCTATGGATAAGATGAATACTCTCAGCTACTGCTCCAGCACCCAGCCTCCTGGCCATGATGGTCACTGACTCACCCTCTGAAACTGTAAGCAAGTCTCCAATTAAATGTTTCCTTTTGTAAGTTGCCTTGTTCATGGTGATCTTCACAGCAATAGAAAAATAAGAGACTAAATAAATGTTAAAAGAACTTTAAATAAACCTATTTACATCTCCATCCCTTGTTCTATGTGGATTTCCTCTAGCAGAAACCTCCACTCATGTTTATGAAACCAGCTACTTAAGTCTTTTCATACTGAAGTTTTGGGAAAACTCCATTCTGAGGTTTGTGCCTGTCGTGGCCTACTCTGTATGCAGTTGCTGCTGTAGGAAAGTATTAACAGCTCTATTTCATTTAAACATAAGTAACTTCGAGACATTTTTGCAGAAAACTAGAAATGTGTTTGATATTTAACTAATTATAACCAGTCCACAAGTTACTGGGTCTTGTGAGATATGAAAATGTAGTTAATTAAAATTTAAAGAGTGTTCTACATAACTTTTTAATTTCAACATTTCCTCTCTTATTCTTCTTCCAGGGTTTTCTTTCAGAAAACAAGCTTTTCTGTGTTTTTCCTGTATTCCTTTCTAGTAGGAATCCAGACGTATTAGATTAAATACGAAAGTACTTCATGTTTTAGAACTGGGATGTAGGGGCACAGTTGACAAGCTTCCTATGACACATATGTGGGAAATTATATCTGTCTGTGACAACAGGGTGTTTCATTAGTCATTCTTCATTTGCTGCTGCTTGAGTCAATAAAATCTCTTCCCAATAAAATGCATTAGATTTTCCACCCACATATACATAAAAATACAGACAGAGCCTTGGGGGGTATGCTTCTGGAAAATGGCAAATTTTTTCCCCAGATTTAGCAGATAAGCACATAGAAACTATGACAGCTGTGGTCAGAGGGAGTTAGGCTATATCGTGAGCTGGCAGGTCAACTTGGCATTGTTTGCATGGTGCTGGTTCTATGGGTATGAAGTTGTAAAAGGAAGAGGGACATAAAGGCTTGTGCAGGGTTACAGAATCAGATTTCCTGGAGGGAACTCCCGAGTGGGCTATGTAGAAAGCTATGGAGGAGATGCCTAAGTGGCAATGGCAGGCTATTGGAGATGCTAGGAGCAGGGGATATTCACCAAGGAAAGCTCCAGGTGCCAAGAGTAACTGGCCCCAAAGAGAGGCCAACTACACATGTTGCCAACAACAGGCCTAGAAGGCTATGACTGGCTAAGTCCTTCAGAGTCCCTATGATGTCATATACAGAGATATAAAGTTTGATATTTGCCTTGCTGGGTTTCAGTTTTTCTTTGATCTAATTTTTCCTTTTGTGACTGTGAACATTGACTCTGTGCTATTTTGTATTGGAAATGTGTAACATTTTTACAGGGGCTCACATTCAGAGGGTCTTAAGTCTCAGGAGAATGTGGATTTAGTATTTTTGACTAGCATCTGCAAATGTAAGACTATGGTAACCTGTATACCTATATACCTATATACATACATACATATATACATATGTGCATATATATGTATAAGCATACATATATGTATAAGTGTTATATGTGTGTGTATATATATATATATATATCATGTCATGAAATTGCATGTAATCCTTGCACAAAGCCATGTTAATCTTCTCTGTCATTCCAATTTTAGTACTTGGGCTGCCAAAGTGAACATAACTATGGGAATTTTTGAAGTTAGCATGAAAGACTTCTCCATTATTAGATGCCCATGATCCTATGGGGGCCAAGGGTAGATTGTTGAATTTTGAATATGAAACATTGCATACAAGCTCGTGTGCTTGACTGTTCTGTCCCCAGACAGTCTGGCTGTTTTAGGAGGTTGTATGATCTTTGGAAGATGGAGTCTAGCTGGAGGAAATTAGTCACTGGGAGGTCAACCGTTTGTATGCCAGCCCCAGTACTGGTTCAGTCATTCTCTCTTCACGACTACTGGCGTGACATAAGTAGCCATTACATACTTCCACTGCCACAGCCATAAGACTTCTGGACCATTTCTTCCCCGCCACAACAGACTTTATCCCTCAAACCATTAGACAAAATAGACCTCTTCCACTGAGTTCCTTCTTGCTAGTTATTTTGACGCAATGATGAGAAAAGTAACTAATAGAGAAGCTAAGACATAGTAGACGCTGTGGAGATGATTCTACCCATAAAGTGCTTAACTTGCAAGCATCGTGATGATGGCTTAATTGCCAAAATTCATGTAAAATAAATAAATAAAGCCGGGGGTATTGTTACACACTTGCAACCTCCATACTGGAAAAGCAGAAACAGGTGGATCCTTGGGTCTGCTCATCCAGGCATGCACTAACGTATTTGGATAGCTCTAGGCCAATGAGAGAGTCTGTCTCAAAAAATAAGGCAAATGACTCCTCACTGTCCTTTAGCCTCCACATGTATGCACACATGTGTTCATGCACACATACATGAACATGTACATGTACACAAAAGAAAGAAAGGTAGAGAGGAAGGAGAAATAAAGAAAGAAGAAAAGAGAGGGGACAGAGATAGAAATTTAGTCACAGTCATAGTACAAAGAAATAAAGGGATAGGGGATTCTGAGAAGATGGCTGAGCGGGAATCACCTAGACAACAGAAAGCTTAGGTGATCTGATTCAGCTACATACACTACTTAATGACAGTGATGCACCCTCGTGTGATTCCGCCACTGTGCATATATCAGAGTATACACACACAAGCAAAGATGGATGTGATACCACACGTTAACATGAATGCATGCAACCGCCGCTGTATGTGCAGCTGCCCTTAACTAAAGCCTCGTTACATGGCACGTGACTGTATCATGAAACTTTGGTTCATGAAAGGCTTGAAGTTTCCACAGGAGGCTTTGTGTATATTGTGGCTGTTTTAATTAATTTCAGCTTTCTCCTGGCTACGTTTATGTCAGCTTGACACAAGTTAAAGTCATCTGACGGAAGGGAACTTCAATTGAAAAGAAATGGGGAAAAAAAAATGCCTCCATAGGAAAAACGGATGGTGGGGGCAGCCACCGCTAGCATGAACACATATGTAATGGGGAGATTGGAAACAGAAAAACAGAGCGTATGTCCAGTGTAGAGAGGAGGAACTGGAAACACCATGGCGGTGAGGGCCAGGCTGCTGTGAGTGGGCGGTGCTGTCTGCCACCTAAGACCATGTTGATGTCCATGATTAGGGCCGCCCATGGTCCTACTACAGCCAGGCAGCCGGGGCATGCTTGCAGTCCCTGCTGTTCCTAGCATGTGGAATCTCACACGTGCTCCTGCTGACTGCAAAGAGCAAGGAAGCTACCCTTGCAGTGATACTGATTGTTGCAGAGACACAGTCGAGAAAGAGGATATAGAAGGCTTCTGTGACAACCTCTACTCCCCAACATTACACACACACACACACACACACACACACATACACACACGCGCACGCGCGCGCGCAATAACCTAAATAGGAAGCCACTGAAGAAGAAAACTCTTCAAGAGTGTGATAGAATGTTGGTTAGCTTGCCTCAATTGATGGCTTCTGGTGGGGGGTGCAGGTGGGGAAAGACTCAGTTCTAGTGAAGGGGCCGGCCACCAAGAGTATGACCATGCCCCAGTGAGTACACAGATAACACAAATTGGCCTTTTTCTCCTCTTATTTTTATTTTTACTTTTTATTTGGGGGGGGGGTTCAGAAGGGTGGGGGAGTAGACATGTGATCTGGTACATGATGTAAAAGTCCTAAAGAATCAATAGAAATAGTGTTGAAAATAAATTATTTATTTCTATTTTACATGCATTGGTGTGTTGCCTACATGTATGTCTGTGCAAGGGCATCATATCTCCCGGAACTGGAGTTACAGACAGCTGTGAGCTGCCAGGTGGCTGTTGGGAATTAAATGTCGATCCTCTGGAAGAGTGGCCAATGTTCTTAATTGCTGAGCCATCTCTCCAGCAATATCTTCTTGGTGAGGAGTAGAACCCCAAGTCTATCTCCCTTTCAGTCCTGGGAAGCCATCGGGCTTGAACCTGTGTAAGCCCCATATATGCTGCCACAGACCCTGTGAATTCATGTATGCATCAGTACTACTGTCTGTTTACTTAGAGTCAACCATCCCCTCTGGCTTTTACAATCTTTCCACCCCCTCTTCCTACAGATCCCTGAACCTTGAAGGGAGGGGTCTGATGAAGGCATCCTATTTAGGACTAGGTGTTCCCAAATCTCCTACTCTAAACACATTGTCCAGCTATGGGTCTCTGTGTTAACTCCCATCTACTGCTGCAAGTTTTTTAAAACACATCATCATCATAATTATTCTAATTATGTAAAAACATTTCCGTATTATAGTGTCTGTTAATCACTCACCACATTATCAAGTTAAAGAAAAAAAAAAAACCACAAAATCTTGGATTACAAGAACATTCAGTAAAACAACTTCCATTGCGACTCAGAAGAATAACACACTAACGAAGTAAAAGCAAACAGCGAACATGGCAAAGAGTCGGAACCTCTGAGAAACTTTGCACTGAAAGCATATGCATTCAGGACAGATAAAGAAAGGGTTTGACTGCCTTTGCTGTACTGGAGATCATAGCCAATGCAAGAAGACAAGAAAAAATACAACACCTAAGGGTCAAAATTAAAATTCAAGGTTCTGTACCCAAGGTTTGATCGTTGGAGAGCACGTGAAATGGAGAAGATACAAAAAAGAGGCAGAACTACATCCAGACATGCAGCCTTAGACAACATTTTGGAAATTCTGAACGAGGTCAATTTATGGCAGATATAATACCACCTCTGAAATCTGATGATTAAATTTTCGTGAGGACAAGAGATTTATCAAAGATGCTGGACACAAGACAAACAAAATCAATGTTTTTCACATCTAATTAATCAATTAGAAAATCATCATTAAAATAGTGCCTCAGAGTTTCTATTGCTGTGAATAGACACTATGACCACAACAACTCTTATAAAAGAAAACATTTCAGAAGTTCAATCCATCATCATCATGGCGGAACACGGTGGCGTGCAGGCAGATATGGTGCTGAAGAAGGAGCTGAGAGTTCTACGCCTTGCAGGATACAGGAAGTGAACCGAGACACTGGGTGTGACTTGAGCATGTATGAGACCTCAAAATCTAGCTCTACAATTAAACACTTCCTCCAGCAAAGCCACACCTCTTAATACTGCCACTCCCTCTGGTGTCATTTTCTTTCAAACCACCACATATAGGCATCCTATTTCTTGTAAAAGTATAAAAAAAAAAAAAAAACTAAGTAAAAATAACAGTAATCATTGAAGAAGCTTTTCATAAAGTTATTAAAGGATACTTTTACTGTCCAAACTAAATTAAGAAATCTCCACATTTTAACTGAAATACTATTTTAAAAATACCTCAGTGCCTTTCATACTAGAAGTCAGTACGAATATTATCGTGGTTTAATAAGGATCAGGATAAACAATTAGGCTGAACAGATGTTTATTCAGGGAGAAATAACTCACAACATAGACAGGTAAACACCAGCAGGTTCCTGCTTCCAAGGATGCCTCCGGAAGTCCTCCTGTCCCTGTGAGCCTTGCAAGAGAGCGCTCCCCCCACCCCTCCTCAGACCTAGTAACCCAGGTCACTTCTGTCCCTGGCTCCACCCCCCAATGGGTGTGGTCAGTGCCACAGAAGAAGACAAAGTGAATACCCCACTAAGGAATATAGTTTAAAAAAAAAAATCAAAAAGATTTGTATTCTATTTAACAGGCTGATTATAATATTTCATGTGGGACTTTAAAAAATCATAATTGTCAAGCAATAATTTTAACAGGTGAAGGAAGATGAGCTATAAAGACAAAAATTATTTAGAATGTGTCTTGGAGCAAGAAGAGGTTCCAAGATACAATGTATACATGGAAATTTAATATAGAGCAAAGCCCATTGTTTTCCCAAGTCTTGGTGAAATAAAAATGGCACATAATTACCTGATCAAAAAGGAATTTAAGGCCTGGTGGTACAAGCCTGAAATTCCAGCTACTCGAGAAGCTAAGACCGGACACACACACAAGCGGAAGAGCTGACTGGACTGCAGAGTCGTTCAAGGCCAGACTGGCCAACCTCGTGAGACACTGTCTCAAGACAAAGAGGAGAAACAGAACTCAGGAGTGTAAAGTGCACCTGCTATGTATGTGCATGGCCCTGTGGTCACAAAAATATAACACTGTACTATTCGTTTACAAAAGCCAGCTCAGAGAGCTCAGAGAGGTTGAGTAATTGCTGAGCGTGAACGTGTAATGAAACCACAGTTCTAAAACATTTCGGGGAGGCAACTGGAGAGACAGCTGAACCTGCAAAGAGCCTGGTTCCGATCCCAGGGCCTATGTCAGACACATAACCACCTTTGAGCCCAGCTCCCAGGAGCCGATGCCCTCTCCAGGGCCCTTGAGTGATGTATTTAGTAATGAATTCCCTAATAAACCGGGCTTGTCTTCTTGGGGGAGAAAAAGGAGGGAAGTGTAAATGGAGGCGGCACTTTTTCTTCCCAGCCGCACAGTCCCAAATAATCACACAGAAGTTTAATATTAACTACAAACTGTTCGGCCTATTGCTCAGGCTTATTACTAACTAGCTCTTACCTTTAAGTTAACCCATTCCTATTCATCTACGCTTTGCCACGTGGATCGTGGC